ATAAAAAATCAATGCCTCCTTTTTTCTCCTCCCTCCTGCAACACCAGCCTCCTTTCTCTCCATGCGATCGCTCTCTCTCCTTCCTTGTGCCGCCAATCTCCCTCTCTCTCCTTCGCTCGCCGTCGCTGCTGTTGCTCCTTCTCGCCGAGCTTCTCCTTCGTCTCTGCTTCCAGTGAAGCTCCTCCTCCATCGCCACTATCTCCACTCTGTTGCAGCTGCAATGCGACGACTCTAGGACACCACAAAGCTCCCAGCCGCCACCGAGATTGTGCCAGCCTAGCCACATGTCTCCTTCCTCCTCGCACCGCACCTGCCTTGCTCGAGAAGCCACCACCACACCAATGAGTTCTCCACCGTGACCTCCTTCCCCCAGTTCATCTGCTGAGGAGTCTCTGATGCCTCCAGACCGTCTTCCATCGCCACCTCCTCCATTAAAGCCAAGGTGAGGGTTGTTTCTTATCCAACTCCTGCATATTATGATCTAGGGTGTTGATTAGTCATTTCTTAAACCATAGCTGTTTGTGTTTGGTTGATTTGTTCTGTTGTTGATGATGTTGTGATTGCTGGTTAATGTTTGATGACGAGTTACGTTGCTAGAGATTGTTTAAACGTGATAAAGAAAAAGAAGTTAAATGATTGATAAGTTTATGTGGTATTTGCTATGGAGTCTTAAAACATAGAAGCTTGTTTGGTAGGACTTTTTAAATGGCATTGGTTAAAATTAGATCGAGTTAGGTACTCGTCATATGGTATGCCCAGTGGTACGAGATTCTTTGCTGGGGAAACTGTGTGGTGCCTAAAGGACCAACAATGACCATCGCTAAGTGGTTAGGGTGATCCGCATGTCTGTATGACCATAAATTGGTGATATGTCAGAATCAGCATATCACGGATGGCAGTCCGATTCTTTGAGATCGGATATCATCCTCTGCAGAGCTTTGCTCTTGTTTGGAAATTAAAGTGCTTGCTTGAATAATCTAAAAGTTGCATAGAGTTTGTCATGCCTCGTTAGCATGATAAGGAGAATAGACGGAGAGTTTGCCATGCCTCGTTAGCATGATGATGAGTTAAAGGCGAATCGACAAAAAATAAATTTAGTAACCCGGATAATTGTGTTCTTGTGATTTATTTAATTTACAGGTATATGATTGAGTTATGTTTGAGCTTGTTTTAGGATTAGACTATTTTTAATCTCTGTATTATATTATGTTGGAAGTGATAATGGGCTTTAAAAGGTTCGCCTCACTGAGTAATTTCTCAATTATTCACCGCTCCTCTTCCTTTTCAGGTTAGCACTGAATCTAATATCTAATGTGATTGTTGCTATGCAGACGTTCTCGGTTATAATATTCCTACTGCTCATCACTGAACCAAATTAGGTAGTTAACCGAATGGGATTAGACCATCGACTTAACAAATCAGTTATTCGATTTTTTTGTGAGTGCCAAAAGGTCGTGCTTTTTCTCTATGGTCTGTATGCAGCTGAAATCTCCAATGTAGAAATATATAAGGCATGCCTCAAGTCTTGCTATCCATCTGCTATTTAAGGAACCATTCTTGAGTTCATCCATAGGAACATCTATATTCACCCCTTTATTTTTCATTCAATCAGATAAAAATATTTAATTCATTTAATTAAAATAAAAATTAATAGAAAAAGATAAATAGGATTCACAATTCAAAATTTGCCACTTAAAAAAAAAATCCTTCATTTTTCTTCTCTCATTCACGATACTGTCTAGATTTTAATTAGTTTTTTTTTCTTCCTTCCTTTTTTTTCTCGATGCAGCTTTGATTTTCAATTAAAAAATGAAAAGCTAAATTTAGTCACTAAAATATAAATTATATATATTTAGAAAAATAAAAATAAAAAATAAACTCTAAATCCTAAACTCAAATATTTTTTAAAAAAATTTAAAAATTAAAAATAAAAAACTAAGCTCTAAACCTTAAACCCTAAATTCAAATATTAATTTTTTAAAAAAATTAAACATTAATTTTAATAATATATATTTAGAATTAGGGTAAAGGATTTAATGTTTATTTTTTATTATTAAAATTAATGTTTGGGTTTAGGGATTAGGGTTTAGGATTTAGTTTTTATTTTTAATTTATTTTAAAATTTAATATTTGGCTTTAGGGTTTATTTTTTTATTTTTAATTTTTTAAAAAATAAATAAATATTTGGTTAGGGTTTAGTTTTTATTTATATATATATATATTTTTAATCTATATATTATAGTTTAGGGTATAAAAGTTATAGTTTAATAATTAAAAATTAAAATTATGTTTTTATTATTAATGTTTTTTTTAATTTTTTTTTTAATTCACTTTAAATCTTAAATAGTATATTTTGATTAGATATAATAGAAGGAGGTGAATAAAAAGGTTCACCTCTAGGAATGAAGTCAAGAATTGTTCCTATTTAAGTCTTCTCCTCTGCATAAAAAAAACTTTTCAACCTCAGATGATAGGCAAAGACTTTTGATTCCATGCTGATCAGTCGATGCATGTAGCAGTCGGTTGATCCGATTTTCAACCCTTCAGCTTGCCCTGATTCGTTGCCAGATATACTACTATTTGGTATAATCGATACATCTTGTATCTTGAAATATGACTGTAGATTTGCATCAAACCACTTGAAAATAATTTATAAAAAATATTCACATCTACCAAATATATCAAAATTTAAGCACAATTCATCGGTGAAAAGCCTTTTATCTAATGCAAATATTTAAATGTGAAAATTTTCTAATTTTCATGTTTTTGTATTTTTGGTCTAAAATTTTTAGATTCTTTTTGTAAAAAACTTTTAAAAAAATACATAAGCACTAAAAATATGAATAAAATGTCAAAACCAAATAGGTTTTTTCTCTTGTAAAACCTATTGAAAACGTTCTAAAACGGTAAAATATAGAATTTGACCTTTATGTATCCTAAACCAAAAAAAAAAAGATTTATCAACTATGCAGACTGCAAAGACAGCTATCCGGTATATCAACTGTTCGAGAGTTTGACCTTTGTTTGTACTAAAAAAAACATAACTATAAATACAAAAAGAAGTTGTTAGAATCCCACATCAGAAGTTTAAAGGGACTAACACTAATATATGAGGGACTTGAGTCTCTCCACTTATCGCCAATTGGTTTTAAGTTGGAAGTCCATGAAACTTAACATTATATCAGAGCTTCGTTTATTGATCCAATAAGAATAGCCTAAAAAAAAGTTTATTATCAGTCTTAAAATAGGATTCGGTTCGAGATGGGCTGATAAGAGTCATCATCTCGAGGGACGTGATAGAATCCCACATCAGAAGTTTAAAGGGACTAACACTAATATATAAAGGATTTGGACATCTCTACTTATCGCCAATTGGTATTAAGTTGGAAGTTCAGGAAACTTAACAGAAGTTTAAATCATAAGAATTTACATATCCTTAAATTTGTTAACATGTCTGACTTGCTGGATGCTCCACGGGAAAGAGGGGGAAAAGGAGAACTTTGATGCTTTCTTGGCCTACGTATATTTAGATATAATCTTGTTATATGTTTTCTTTAATCCTTCATATTAAGATTTCCATTCTATTAGGGCATGTTTAAGGTTTGAGGGCAAAAAAGAATTGTGTAGCATATGTACTTACTTTCATTAGTAAAATACCATTTGCCTGGGAAATTGAAGTTCTGCAGTTCCCGATGTACAAGAGAATAACAATACAAAACACTGATCTAACATGAATGCGACGCTTGACATTACCAAACCAAACCTTGCTTTTGTATTAATAATTTAATAACAAATAAAGATAATTCATAATTCATAATGATATATCATCTGATACTAGTATTACATTATTATATTTCTAGCCTTTTCTTTTTCGCATAAAAGTCTAGTCTAGCTGATGTTAAAAAAAAAAAAAAAAAATCTAGTCTGACTCATTATAAACTACCACTAACTTAGGCAAAATCCGCATTAAGAAAAAGGAAAAACTCAGGTAATATCCGTATCTAACAAAAGTAATGAGAGCAATTTCGAGTATTGGGATTGGAAGACAACTTTTTTCCCCCTTATTCATTCTTCTTCTTATTCTTCTTTTCTCTAAATAAAGTAGTTGAGACTTGAGAGAGCCACCGAAAAGCATTCGACATCTTATCATTAAAGCTAACTTTTTCGGTGTTTTATTTCTAAAATAAAGAAATTATATCCCTACAGGCTACATCTTGTAGAGTGAAAGATTGTGCCAAGCTTTTGGGTTGGGGTTTTTCTAACACATCACATGCATTTGGAAAATAATTATTGGGGTCATCTAATTCTAAAATATTTTATAAATTAGTCATAGTTATTGTGTTCTACTGTTATAATCCACCATTCAACTTTTAGTTATCTCTTTTCGTAAGACTTATCTCGTCGGATTTATTTGTCTTACACAAACCGCAATAAATCCGTTTAATTTGTCTAATACGTTTATTTGTTCTGAACCGCCTAATCCATTATCATTGTTAAAGTCCATAGTCGGAAATTTTAGAGAAGATATATAATATTGACGCATGAGAGGATGCACATGAATTTACTTTATTTTGGTTGGGCTAATATTATGCATAGTTTAAAGTAGTGCTTCATGCAGACATGAACACATCACACGTACGCATGTATAATGTATACATATACATCACCCACGTACGCATAACAATATTCACACCATAAACTTTTACTTTCCAAAAAAGAAAAAAAAAACATCATAACTTTAATTAATTTGAAATTTGTTCTTTACCAATATGTATATTTTCAATAAAGACAAAGAGATTTAAAATGATAAAAGTCAACCAGAACCCATCATTTGGTCTTTGGTTTCCCGACGTCCCACTTTTGTAAAAATCATCTGTTCATTTCCATTCTTTTTTCCTACCCAACTGGATATCACCAATTACATCATTATTCATTACACATTAACATTCCACATTTTATTCTATATATACATAAGCCAAGTCTTGTAACGAGAGCGACAAAACATTTGCTAAGTAATTATATATCAATGAAGGTTCATGAGTTTTCCAACGGGTTTTCGTCATGGGAACAACATGACTCACCATCATCTCTTAGCCTAAGCTGCAAACGCCTCCGTCCTCTCGTCAGGAAGCTCTCCGGCAGCCCATCCTCCCCTCCTTCTTCTTCCTCCGGCGTCACTTCCGCCACTTTGGACCTCAAGAGCTTCATTAAACCCGATCAAATGGGTCCAAGAAAATTTGAATACTCTCTGGAACACAAAAGAGATCTTCCTCAAGTAAGTCCACTAATTTTACATTCAAAATTTTATTTTCACACTATAGGATTTTTGACAAAATAGACCTAAAATATTGACATTGTTAACGATTGGATGAGTTTATATCCTTTATATTTATATTTTTTCTTTCAACTAACAAATATTACATGTTAGGTGGAGACGCACCCGGGAGGGACACGGTGGAACCCGACTCAAGAACAGATAGGGATACTTGAGATGTTGTACAAAGGTGGAATGCGTACTCCTAACGCTCAACAGATCGAACATATCACATCTCAACTTGGTAAGTACGGAAAAATCGAAGGTAAAAATGTGTTCTACTGGTTCCAAAACCACAAAGCCCGGGAGAGACAAAAGCAGAAGAGGAACAACCTCATCGGCTTAAGTTTCCAAAGCAGCTTTAAGACCACTAGTGTCGCTGACCCGAGTGTAACAACAACAAAAACAAGAACATCATCGTCACTAGAGATCAGGGTATGTTTTAATATTCAGGATTTTCTATAATTGTTATGTGTTTTGACTTTAGTTAAGGGTTTTCGATTTTTTTTTTTTTAAAAAAACTCTATAGTTAAGGGTTTTGTTGAAATGTTTGTGTAGAGAGAATCAATGATGGAGAAGGAGGAGTTAGTGGAAGAGAATGAGTATAAGAGAACATGTAGGAGCTGGGGATTTGAGAACTTGGAGATAGAGCGCAAGAGAAACATAAATAGTAGTACAAATGCTACAATGGCAACTACTTTTAATAAAATCATTGACAATGTAACCCTTGAGCTTTTCCCTTTGCACCCTGAAGGTAGGTGAAGAAGATGAGGCAGACAATGTGGAATTCTTATGTAGATCTGGTTTAGGTTCAGACGAAGTAGTTGATATCTAGAAAAAAGACAAAAAAATAATAAGTTTCTGAAATTACAAAATCTACTTAAGAATTCCCTCAATCTGTGAGTCTGATGTATCCTGTACTGTAGATCTTTCCGATGTATTCTTAACTATGAAATCATAGTTTAGCTCGTCTCTAGCTATAATTATGTATTTTTGTTCTTATAACCAATCGCGTCGTAATTAAAATATGATACCATTCCAATAAAAATTTAAATATTTTGCTAGACCTAGCTAGTATTTTTATAAATAAAAATTAAATTCTTCAACTTTTCGTACTGTACCCAAGAACAAATTACTTGAAATTCTAACAACAGGTGAACACAATTTTGATAAGTTTTAGTTTTAAGAAAGTTGGTATTTCCGTCTTTCCGATATCAAAATTGGAATGTGTACATAGACATCGTGTACATGTAAACTGTGGTGTGTATGTGGTTAGTTGTTTGTCTGATGCTTTATTGACTCTCGCAATTGTTTTTTTGTATGTATTTGGGTTGAAACAAAGAGAGATTGCTTTTTAGGTTAAAAGTTAAAATGGCATTATATGAGACACACTCACTGAAGTCCATGCACTCGCTTTCCCGCTACATTGCATGCTAGCTAGCTGTACATATATATATACATATATAGCTATTTTTTATTTCCCCACTTGATCAATGTACGTGACAATGATATTTTGCTTGGTAGATCTTGCCCACAAAACCTAGACTAATACCCAAAAATCAATAGAAAACCGATTATTCTTATCATTCTATGTGTTTATAGTGGCTATAGAATCATGATGATGATCGTAGATAGCAAGACTTGTTTCCAGGTTCACATATATAGCGAGTCTTCTAACACTCGAATAACACTACTGAAACCATATCCGGCTCTTTCGTTATTTTTTCCTTTTTCGTATTTTCTATAATTATTAAAATAAAATTTCTAGTAATGTAAATATCATTAAGAAATAAATATTTTCTAAATATATTACAATAAGAAGCTAACTCGAGAAAAATTCTTGCCAAAAAATAACTAAAAATAGGTGAAGCCTACAAAATTAAATATTTGGGTCAATTTAGAAGCTAGCAAGCCATGTTTGCATCAAGTCACACAAAATGATCTCCTTTTACGCTTTGCGAACATTGTGTCACTCACAAATTAAGAATTGACAATGGATGTCTTCCTCGTTGCCAATCGATTATCTTATCATATTTGGCAAGGACGCACAACTACTCTATCTCAGAACCACGGGATACAATCTTCAGGAAAGTTGATGGCTCCATCCGTGGGACCGTGGAACAATATTGCCAAAACTAAAATTATAAAATGGAACTTTTACTGTTTACAAAAAAAATAGTATTTATATTTTTTTTCTAGTCTAATCAAACACATTTTCAGCAAAATATGGCTTTAATCATCAGATTAAGGAGTATATATAATCTTTTTTGAGGTAATTCATTCCCTCAAATGATTATTTGCCATGCATTGAATTGGTGCCCGTGGGGTATGGCGTTCCGTTTCTTATAATCTTGGAGGGAAGCGAGATTGAATTTTAGAATTAAAGAACTTTATTCATTTGGCTATGGGGCCATAAATAATTTTAATAAATTAATGTTTCTCGGTTCTTACGTGTACATAAATATATATCGAAAATAAAATTTAACAGAAATAGTATTCAAACCATAACCAGTTCTATTATATTAAATTGGCTAGCAGGCCTCGCCATGGCAGAAAACAAAAACGGGCTTTACGACCGCAGGCCAGAATTTTCTATAATTGATGTTAGGCATATATATTTATCTAATCTAATACTCTCTCCGTTTCACAAATAGTGTCGTTTTAAGGTTTTATTTTTGTTTCACAAAAAGTGTCGTTTTATATTTTCAATGCAAAATTTTAAACAATATTCCAGTTTTAACTCTATTAATTTAATGTATTTAGTAGATAAAAACAAGTTATTTAATATATTAATAAGAGATAAAATTGTACTTTTAATAATTTTCTTAATATGTGTGAAAAATGTCAGAATGACACTCTTATGAAACAGAGGGAGTATATAATAGTTGGAATTATGAAACAGAGGGAGTATATAATAGTTGGAGGAAATTCAACTATTATAAATCACCATTTATTATAAAATAATAATTAAAATTAAAAAAAATTCAAAAAATAACATATATATATAAACTATTTAATTTATATTTAATTATGTTAAATTAAAAATATTAAAGCATAAACTTATAATAAATAAAATTCTAACTCCCTCTGTTTCACAAAGAGTGTCGTTTTAAGGTTTTATTTTTGTTTCACAAAGAGTGTCGTTTTATATTTTCAATGCAAAATTTTAAACAATATTCCAGTTTTAACTCTATTAATTTAATGTATTTATTAGATAAAAATAAATTATTTAATATATTAATAAGGGACAAAATTGTACTTTAATAATTTATTTAATATGTGTGAAAAATGTCAGAATGACACTCTTTATGAAATGAAGGGAGTATATAATAGTTGGAGGGAACTCTCCGGTTGACACATCAGCTTCTCCATTATTGGTCAACTTTTATTTATTTTTACAAGTCACCATTTATTACAAAATAATAATTTAAATTAAAAACTTCATAAAATAACATAAATATATATAAACTATTTAATTTATATTTAATTATGTTAAATTAAAATATTAAAACAAAAATTTAAATTTATTAAAGTATAATGATTATCTTTTTTTTTATAGTTTAATAATTAATTTTCAGCTAACAAAAACAATTCAATTAATAAAAAAATAATTTTGAGACCAGAAATAAAAAAAATGTTTAAGAAAAAAAACAACTATTATTTTTATTTTCAAGCAACTGAAGAACAAAAAAAAAACCACAACACACAAAAAAATAATAGCTGGTATAGTGAGAGAATATCAAAATTAGAGAAAAATGATAGAAAACAAAAATATGTAATAAAAAATATAAAAATTAATAATTGAGAAAGTTTAAAATTATCTTTATGTGAGGATTTAAATAAAAAATTCGAAAAAAATGGATGAAAAAAGTTATTAAGGTAAAAAGCACGTTATGAGGCTAAAACTAAAAAAAAAATGTGTGTGAAAAACAACTTAAGAATAACAAATAAGAATAATAAAACTAAAGAAAATTCATCAAACAACATAAATATATATAAACTATCTAATTTACATTTAAATATGTTAAATTAAAAATATTAAATCATAAATTTAGAATAAATAAAATTCAAATTTTAAGAAAGTATAGGGATTGTCTTCTTATTTTAATTTTCAAGTGATTTAATCTTCATCTTTAAAACAAATTTTGAGACCAAAAGTAAAAACAATAGTCAAAAAGATTTCAAACAACTATATAAAAAAACTACAACTATAAAAACACAACATAAAAAATTAATAAATAATAGAGAAGATAAGAGAATATAATTAGAAAATAATAATTGAAAAGAATATAATAACCAATAAATATACAAAGTTTTAAAAGTACTGGTTGGAAAGATAGATTCAATGAAATATATGTCATAATAAAATATGAAAATAATAAATTGAGAAAGTTCAAAATAACTTTTATGCGAGGATTGTTTTGAAAAAATGGATAAAAATGGTTACTAAGATCATAAATATATATATATATATATATATATATATATATATATATATATATATATAAGAAACAAACAAGATGTTTTAAAAAAACAAACAATAGAAGAATAACAATTCTATTAAAAATAAGAACAATAAAAATATAATACAAAAAATCAATAAAAATTAAGAAATCTCAAGATATCAAAAGTAGAGAGAAAATAAAAAAAGAAGAAAAGAAAAGAAAAGAAAAGAGTATATATGAGAACAATTTCTAAGGTATCAGTTAGAAATATGAAATGAATGGAATATATGTAATAAGAAAACTTAAAAAAGGATAAATTGAGAAAGTTAAAATTGTTATTAGTCAGAATTTAATGAAAAACTCAAAAACATAACAGATGAAAGAGGTTACTAAAATCATAAAAACAAAATGTATATTGAAAAAGTCAAAAATTAATTACAGATAAAAATTTAGATCAAAGGATTTGAAATTTGAATGAAGGAACTAGAAATAAAATTGATAGTTAAACAAAAAATCTTAAACATATTAGTTTATAAAACAAAATATAAAAAGACTCGTGCGTAGCACGGATGCTCTTCTAGTATATATAAAATAGAATAACCTCTCTTCTTATGATGCCACATCATCTTCTCATAGTCTGAATTTGTGTCACATCATCAATTTTAATTCTCATGATAACTAACATCCATTATTATAATATTTTATTTTTATCTATAATTTAAAAAGGCATTTTTTATAAAGATATCTATATATTGATATATTTCTTTATTACTATTAATAATAGTGTATTATATCTAATGAGTGGGTAAATAGAGATAATAAATCAAAAAAAAATTTAAATTTGGTTTTCTCAAATCAGAAAAAAAAAATTCATATCTTAAAATTATAAGACAAATTTATAAAAAAAGTTTGTTTCAATTAAAACTATATTTGAAAATAGATAGGCATGAATTTAATAACATAATCCAAATCAGGTTTTAATAAATCCTAAAAATAAATCATATGACCTTTTAGAAGCTCGAATGGCAACTCCAAACTTTTGAAGAGTACATAAGAATATATATTACGAGAAACAAATTGTGGTATCCTACAATAATAACATGTTAAAGCTAATTATTTAAAATACTAATGAAAAAAGTTTTCCCGTACGTTTTCCAACAAATAAACTAGAAAAAGACACGAAAACTAGACAGTAAAAGAGAAAATCAGAGGAAGAAAATAAAGATTATGTCTAAATCGAATAAAAATGTGGTATGTAATTCAATTTATTAGGTTTATGAGAGAGAGAGAGGAAGGGAGAGAAAGAGAGAGGGGGAGGGGGAGAGAGAGAGGGGGGGAGAGAGAAAGAGAGAGATGGGAGGGGGAGAGAGAAAGAGAGAGAAGGAGAGAAGAGGAGAGAGATAATGAGTGCATCTTGAAAATTTGTTAGATTTTCCTGAAATTAGATTAATGTAAGTTGAATGAACATCTGAGAACAGTGAAATATATGTATCTATTATTTTCTAATGTGAGTTTTTAATCTGTAAAGTTTTGTTCTCCTTTTCTATTTTTGAACT